AAGGTATTTATTATCATTTCCAATAATATGCATTACAGTATATACAATAAAATTTGTTTTTAAAAGAACAGTCTTTTTTTTCCAATGTAACACTCAGTACGTAAGCCAAGGAATATGTTTCTTGCGTCGTTTCATGGACACATCAGGAGGTTTTCCTATTGTTTGAGTTCTACTGACGTAACCACTCCCTGTCTGTGAGGTCTCATTGATTGATTCACTCAACGTTGTATCGGTTAAGGTCTTTTCAGACATTTGTTTTTGATCCTTGTCGTCATTCATGGTGGCTGGTGTTACAGGCTCTTCTTTATCCTCGATTTTTTTAAGAACCTATCTCTGAGAAAAACATGCAAAATCTGAAAAATCGTCCGAAAGGGTATATAGAACTTTTCTTTTTGTCATATATTTTTAAGATCTAGGTTGTATCAGGATATAAAAAATAAATTAAAAAGTGTGTCATTTGCTTCTATTTTTAGTAACAACCTAGTTTCTATATTTAGCAATAATTGGCATTGAATAGTAAGAAAAAATAAGAAAGTTTGCGGCCCCATAAAACCACTGCAAAGTTATTTCCGAACCAGTATTTTATTATATCATCAATACATATATGTCAAGATTACAAATATTTATTTTTCCCAATGATTACATATTTTTTCAATCTATGCTGAAGCCCCATATAAGGCTGAATTTGGAACTTCAGAATTAATATGGATATTTATTGCAGTGGTACAGCGTAAGTGGAATTAATAATTTGATTTAATTATGTGCTTTATAATATTTGATTGATGTCCTTTCAAATATAAAAAAAATCACCGTTGGCAATTAAGTGAAAATATATTTAATAAATTGTTGAAATGATGACCTTAGTATGTTAGCATAGCTCTCTATTTGTACCATAGAATTAATCAAATATTATTAATTTGGCTTCATTTAATCAATAAACATGTTTTAGTGTAGATATATGTTTAGAAAGTCTATAAAAATTTAAAAAGTTGATAAAATTTAAAAAAAAAAAATCTCTGAAAATAATAAAAGAAGATAAGATAACAGAATGAGTATGTGTGTGTAAGAGTTATCTCCCGTAGTGGAAGTCTTCATATAAAAAGGGGAAAATGATATTTCAATGTGTCAGGGTCGCCAAGAACAATATCACGAATGTGACTTCGGCGATTTTTTAAACATTTCGTGCCGTGATGGTCAAGTACTTTATTTGTATGACTGTATTAAGGATCTATGACACTATTTGCGTTTGATTAAAGCTCTGACCCTGCCCCTATCAGTCTGTACGGAAAACGTTATGGATCTACTGGAGGCAATCGTTCGATTGTGAAATGGAGTTTTTTCCCCCTTGACCATGTTGACAGTAGTGCATTTAAAGTTATGAATCTGTCAAAGACATGCAGAAAATTTGGGGTTAAAAAGGCGAAGATGAAAATCAAGGTGCTCCTATCCTGAAGTTAACGAAGAAAGCAAAGCCAAACCAGACCGAGGGACTACTCTCATTCTTATTATGTTATTAGTAGAACCTTTTGTAAAGAATACTGGTTGAAAACAAGATAGACAAAACCATACAGTTGGATCAGGTAGGCCAATATAGAATTTGCAATGGAAGTTGAAATAATGAATGAAGCTGTTCTTAATTTTACAAAATATAGTGCTAATCTTGATATTGGAGGAGGGGGTAGTGTAAAAGTCTACAATCTTAAACTCTAACCAGGAACAGTAAATATTGATGCTTTAATATGTGTGTACAACTGTAAATGTATACTTTTTGAAATAAATTAAATGTAGTTGTTTGGGAAAAAAAAATAAAATTAGAACTGCAAGTTAGTGTGCTTCTTAAAGATACTCTGAACCAGGGGATGTGAATTCAAAGTGGTTTACGAAGAAGGAATAGGTAGTTTTTTATTCAAATTTATCCAGGGACTGTTTCTAAAAGTTATTTTATCACACTTATATTTTTTTCTATTACGTAATGTTTCAATATTTTAAAAAACACATTCAAAATGAATACACAGTTTTTCAAAATGATGACATTTTTAAAATATAATGGGTCATGATAATATGAATTCATAGCAGCAGGTTTATACCGATTATTTTAGGATGCTTATGTGTTACACCATGTGTTGAAAAGATTTCAACTGCTAATTCAAATGGTCTAACAAATTTTAGTCAAGTTATAAATAATTTACAATTAACTTTCACTTCTTGTAGCAACATTTGTCAGTGTGCAGAGGAGTTTTTTGCATCCCATTGAATTAAAAGAGAAATGTCCTGATCCAGATTTATATGGTAGAGTATCAAACTTCATGCACAATCTTCATTTGATAATGTAATTTAATACTGGAACACATCTATCCTTCTACTTCATTAATATTTGTAAGAAGTAATCCAAAAAAAATATTTTAAAGTCTGATGTGAAGAAAAACAATAATCAAAAGCTCTTTAGAGCTTTTGAATGACACAAAATGTCATACAGCTAGTTAGTTTTGACTGACTTTTTGGTAAATAAAGAGTTGATTTTTGGTATACTCTTGATATTGATTCATTTATCTACAGATCAAGTATAAGTGTAAATGTTGAATGACCATTATACATGAAAATTATTGCCCTTACAATTAAAATTCTAATTTACCAATTTTTTTCCAAACACTTTTTTTCCTGATGTTCTTGTAGATCAAAAGTTGACAACTCTCAAATGGGACCTAAAACTACATACAATCAATCAATCAAAGTTGACAACTGCATCAAGAAAGAAAAAAAAACGAAATTTTGTTTATATTTTATTTTTAAATGTTAAGACTTTCAAATATTTAAAACTTTTTTTTTCTTGCTTGGACATTCATGTTGCATCTAGCTTTGGTCAACATTCTTGACATTATTGTCTTTCATTATTGATATTACAATTTTTAGACAGACACAAGTTACTTTTATCACTTTTTTGTCAGAAATGTAAATAGAAATGGTGCACATGCATACACATACACCAGTTTTACATTGTAGTTATATTTTTCAAAAAAATATGTTTTTAATATAACATATATATATATAATATTATTAAGGTAAGGTTTGCGACCCCCTACAAATTTTATTTTTTTGAAATTGTACATATGTCATACATCAATTTGTTTGGGAAGATTAGCTTCATCATTTAACACCATCTTAAAAGATATTGCCCGTCCCGTTTTTTGAGTAAAAGACGCCAAATTTGAGGTATTTGACGCTTTACATGTTTAATTATTTTCAATGAAAAAAAATTGATTAATTTTATATATTATCATATTAAAATAATTAAAATGGCATGAATTATTTTATTTTATGCTTAATTTATCTTATTTTTTTATTTCTGTTACTGAAAATGTAAAAATTTGGGTTAAAAAAGAGGTTTTTTCAACTTTCCATAATAAAGTGAAACCGTTGCCATGGCAACAAACAAGTAAAAATCACCATTATCTATATCTACCGATTCCACAAAAATCCAAGAAATTGTTCAATGGATAATTTTCATTACAATGGACTAAAAAAATATATATGTCCCCAACACCGTTTCCATGGAAACAGAGGGTATATAATGGGTTTTGTACATGAAAATCAGACCTTTTTGCATTTTAAAGTAAACATTGATACAATTTTCAGAAAGTGTACTCATCAAACTAAATTTTATATGAAATTGTTTTTTTGGGCAGAAAATTGACCACAATAACACTCCTTCTATGTCCTACATATCGCACCTTTACAATATTATTGATGAAAAAGTCAATGGAATTATGTTTCAATACCTTTTAGAAATACCTGTATCTATAAACATGCTTGTGGTGTATACATGTACATGTAATTGTTCATCATGGTTTCTTAGCATGCTCCTGTTGGAAAACAAGTTTAAGTAAAACTTTCTGACCTTATGTTGATTTAATCATTCCAAAGGATTTCAACTACATGTATTAATTTCTAGGCATCCTTAGCTGATATCTTTACTCATCTACGACTGGTGAGGCTTTACATGCTATCACTTGAGTGAAATGTTGCAGGCATTTTATCCAAGTAGCTGCTATCTTAACAACAGTAACAAATATCTACATATCAATCATTTTAATAGTCTGTTCGTTTGTTTGCTTACCCTCCTTTCAAGATTATTTCACTCATATTGAGACGCCACTACTTGCCAGTGGAGGGCTGCAAATTTAGACCTGTACTCGACACTTATGGCCTTCTGAGCAGTGAGGGATCTTTTCCGTGCCAGCAAATACTTGATACGGGACTTCGGTTTATATGGTTTCACCTGAAGGACTGGTCTCCAAGTCCCGCAGTGGGATTTGAACCCGCAATCCAAGGATCAACTCCTTTCCCTGTAATTCTAGAGCAAAGCTCTAACCACTGCACCATGAGGGCGACTTTGATCAGTCCCAGATTCTGGATAAATGCAGCTGTATGTAAGAAGACAATAACATTGGATTTCAAGTTACAAATTCATATTTTAATGAGTTTACAGTGCAAGTACTTCCGATTTCAGTCAAATGGTAAAATTCTGCGAAGTTATTACACTGTCATGAATATTGGACAAGAACAGAAAAAATATAACAATGCCATAATGACACAGATACATATTCTGTCCATTATCTATGGATATTTTGCTACAACAATTTACATGAAATTTTACAAACACTTTTTGAATGCTACATAGAAACTTGTTAAGCAGACATATGCCACCTCCAATTAATACATCTGATGCATAAATTTATTTTACTGAATGCAAGTTCAAAGATGGAGAAGCAATGTACTATAATCCTCTCAGACTCTTATTTTTTCTAAATTTAAAGAAAACAGCTTATAGATAGAATGTTGTTGTGGAATCATTGTTTCCATGGATAACATTTATTGGGTAACCAGTCTCCTCCAAATCCTGGGCCACTGGTATTGGCATATCTGGTTCCACACCTTTGCTCGATCTTTCAACTTTCTTGAACATTCATGAGCTGGAATACAATGGTCTTTACCATAATAGATGGCACTGATCTTCTAAGCAAGAACTGAAGTACTTTTTCTGATTTATTTCCAATTAATGATCCATAATCTGAAATTGTGTGTTCATTTTCATATAATGAAAGGAATGAAAAGAAAATGAAATGAATGAATTTCCAACATACTCACTTTATAACTAATAATGGTACAACTATTATCAAAAATAAATGTATACATTAATTTATATAGATTGAATTAGATGAATGCAATTATATAAGCTTGATGAGCAAATTTTCTAAAACACAACCTAAGCAATGCTAAGATTAAATAGTCATGCATAATCTAGATCTCTTTTTATTTAAAAAATGAGATACTAATAAAAATAGAACTTCATTCACAGAAAGTATTTCCAGGCCCTCATTAAAACCATTCAATCTAAATTAAAACTATCCACATGGTCTTAGGAACTGGAGTGGGAGGGAGGCATCCCCCCCCCAATTTTGCTGATATATAGAACACTATACACTATAGAAAACATCGCTAAATATATGCTTGTGCCACCTAAATAATAACGTCTGATGACCTTTCATTTTGGCTTGCCAAGGAATTTTAATATTATTGGTAGTGCCCCCCCCCCCCAAACTGAAAATGGGTTTCTTTGTGCCCCCCCCCCCCCCCCAGCTGAAATTGCTTCTTACGGGCCTGATCCAGACTATACTAATGTACGTATCACTTGGTGAGGAAAAAATAAATACAAACTGTACTTTAAAAAAGCTCACCTGTATTATGTCATAATTCCAACCTGTGCCAGCTGTCTCTATAAGACCCCATCAAAGGTTACTTCAAACTTAAAAAAAAAAAATAATGAAAATAATAAAATAAAAAAAAATAAAAATAAAATACTTATATTCACATGTACCAACTGACCATGTATCTATTTTGAGAGAACCAAAATTTACCATGTCAGAGTAGGAAAATCAACTGAGCTTAGCAATCAGTAAATCATAATCAATACTGGAACATATATAGCTAGTGCATATAAGTAAAAATAGGAAAAGTATTGAAAATGTCTTGATACTGAGTCCCAGACTTTATAGCTTTATATTTACATTCCACATGCTTTAAAGTGTAAGGAAAGCTATGGCATTCAACACACCATAACACGGACAGGGGGTCAAAAGGTTAAAGTATGCATTTTATTTTTACGTCACAAACGTTGAGCGCCATGGAAATGCAACGTCATAAGTGAAAATCAAAATTCACGCTCACATTGAACAGAAGGCTGTTGCAACGGCTCTTCATTCATTGTAATTTACCCGAAGGATAATACAGGGTTTTTGAAATATAAATCACATTTGCAATCAAGGCAAGGAGTTAAAAAATGTAAATATAAGCATTGAATCATTATTTTTTGAAAGATATAGTCTCATAACTGCAACGGTGTGTGCCAACATATTTTCATAATGCCCTAATGCGCGTTACTCAATTAGTTTGCACACACCGTTGCAGTTATGAGACTATATCTTTCAAAAAATAATGATTCAATGCTTAAAAATCTCACTCTTTTGAACCTACTTTTCAAATCCTCTTTGAGATTATTAAATTAAGGTTTATGATAAAATTCATATTAAAATCTATCTAGGGAGAAAATCCATGTGCAACATATAAACTAGTATGTTTTGACTAAGAGTTAGAACATTTATTTGTTTACTGCATTCAAGATTCATCATTGATACTTTTTAAATGGATTTGGGCTTCAGATCTTTTTCAGTGAGAACTAATTTGCATTGAAAAATAATGTGTCAATCAATAATTCAAACAATTTCATAAAAAAACCCTGATGAAAAGGCTTTCCTGATTGTATTTAAAAAAATAGAGAGAGACGGAGAGAAAGAAAGAGAGAGAGATTTTAAAAAGTTGGATGAAAACTTTTTCTGCATTGCGGGATTAAAGTCACATGCACCTTATCTGATATTCGCTGAACATGTCACAATATAAACAGATAAAAGCAGGGTTTACAGTCAGAGGAAACTCGGATTAACATGTACCCTGAACTGTTCATGTCCGTTTAGGTCACTGACAAAGTTCTGTAATCCGTAGTTGTAATACGCGATTATGAACTACAAATACTTAAAATTAACAGTTAAATAATTACCTGTCTGATGCAACTATATCAAGCTGTCAAATACTCCATGACTTCTCTTCCCTGTTCGGAGTGCATACTGCATACACCACTCAGAGTGTAACAGGATCCTGGATGTTTCTTTCTTTCGATCGTGTTGTCATTTTAACATGATTAAGTGACGCGGTGAAGTGCATGATTTACAATACATCTGATTCTTTGCTCCTGCTGACTTGAATAACCGTGCAACTTGCGCAGTTCCATATTGAAAATAAACTAGTGCTCTTTTATTGCGTCATCAATCGTGCATCACGCTAAGCATTTGTCCGCTGAATTCTTCTGAGATTCCTTTACTTTAAATTGTTAGGCCTATACGATTTTCTACTGGAAATGTCCTTTGTTTGTGTTCATCATTTCATGTCATGGTGTTTCACAGCCGAAATTCATTAGCGATTGAATGCTTATTATCGCTGGTTTAAATTTCGCCGGTTTCAAACGCTTAAGTGATTCATAAGAGTTATCTCCCTGTAATCGCACACCTTACCTTAAATAATATTTATTCTTTTCCCTGCTTTCTGTTTCACAAGAGCATGGGGACATTAAATCTCATTTGTTTTTCCAGCTGTTAAGCTAGCTGTTCATCTTTCTGAAACAAAAAACTTTAACCTTGGTCATAATTTCTAAATGACCTTCCATATGACCTTAATCTCACTATTAATTGTTTCACATTTAGCACAGTAAAGAAGAAACTGTACTTAATATTTTCATTAAAATGCAAAACCTGAAATTGATAAGAACTATGCAATGGTATCACAATTTTTTTTTACCTCGACCTTCCCTATTACCTTAACTTCATTTTTCAAGATATTTTATCAAACTTTATAAAAAGTTTGACACAATGGTAAGAGCAATCTGACAATGACCTTGACCTTTCTCATGACTTCACTTTTTCTCTTCACTTAAATGACTTTTGATTTTTAATATTCTAAGTTGGTACATGTATTGGTGACAGCAATCACTTTGTCATAATTTCCTTACTTAGACCTTTCCAATGACCTAAAGTCTCTATTCCTTCATTTTGCAGTTACTTAGGTTCTGTATGTACAAATATAAATAAATAAATTATTTTTCCTTTCATAATATTTTATTGATATAGGTAATACAGAATTTTCCAAGATTGCAGGACAAAGGAGTGGAAGTGTTTCATTTCAACAAAACCATAAGCTAACTGATCAAGTGACAGATGATACCAGTTGCAATCTTGAAAAACATTTGGCAGTTGGAAATCACACTTAATACGGTATACAAATTCAAGATAAAGTAAGAACATATACTGATGCAAATTTGTATGCCACAAAATGTGAAAGCATTAGAGAGTTTCACAATTTACTGATACAAACTGTAGTGTCCTATCAGAACAGTTATTGATGGAATCCAGTGAGAGCCAACAGGAAAAAGAATTGGTTGGGCATTAAAATGCAGAAAAAGATTCTACCAGAAAGTGAAGGATTACTTGTATGTGATATTTGAAGAATGTGAAATAACAGTAAATTGTCCAGATTGTGTTTTAGAAGAATTGAAGGAAGTAACAGATGAAAATGATGAAAGATTTTATGAAAGACATGAATTGCTAAGTAGCTCACAGAATAGAGGATTTCATAATTGTCCCATTTGTCAAAAAAAAAAAAAAACCCAAGTCATTGCGCATCCTCCAGTAAAAAGGCAGTTGTTGTCTGAGATATCTTTTAAAAATGTTTGTATTGATGCATTGGAAATTTGCAGACATTGTTTGTGCTTAATTAACACTCATAATGAATATGATGATCAAATGACTCGTCTGCTGTATGATGTGTTTACTTCTGTAAATATTCAGTAAGAATGTATACAACTATACATGTATTAAAGGTAATCAAGTTACTTGTTTACTCATATAAAATTGAAAAATAACAAAAGAAGTTCAGATTATTTTTATAACAAAATATCTCAAAATTTTGATCATTAATTGACTCCCACTTTGTGTTTTATTTTTATTTCTTTTATGGGGCTTTCTATATGTAAAGATCAACCAATAAGATTTATCACCAGTCACATTTTTAGAATACATTTGAATGAAAAAAAGATTATTTTTATGCATAAAATATTGTGAAACAGAGGAAATTTAAAAAGATAATAATGTATGTCATTTTTGAGAGCAAACCATAACCGATAAATTCATGTGATAAAATGTTTCATTTATCTGCTCTCAAAAAAAAAATATTGTCAAAAGATTGAAGTATTAACATTTAGAAATTCACATCTATAAATTGTGAATTCATGCTATAAATTCAATGGCTAATAGCAAAAAGGTAGGTCATCAATACATACATGTGTCTTAGTAATTCAAAAGCTGAGTTTTCATTATCATCATTGGATTTTTTTTATTCTGAGTAAACAAGTACTTTAAAGGCTTGTACATTATCCAAGTAATGGATTATAGGGGATTCATAAATACACCCCCCTATTTTGTCACCCGCGTGGCGCAGTGGTTAGAACGTCTGCTCTAGAGGAATTGATCCTTACGTCGCGGGTTCGAATCCCACTGTGGGACGTGGAGACCGGTCCTTCGGATGAGACCGTATAAACCGAGGTCCCGTGTCACAGTAAGTGCTGGCACGAAAAAGATCCCTCACTACTCAATGGCCGTAAATGCCGAGTATAGGGCAAAATTTGCAGCTCTCCACCGGCAAGTGGTGGCGTCTCCATATGAGTGAAAAATTATCGAGAGGGACGTTAAACAACATACAAACAAACAAACAACCCCCCCCCCCTTTTTGATGTATTATTTGGATTCAAAGTCATTATCTTTTAAATTCTGAGTTATGTATGTTTAAATTCTAAAATGCAGATATGAAAAACTCTAGAAATTATTTTCGTTGTATTTTTGGAGGAGTTGTAAGGTATTTTTATGAGAAGCGCTAACTGTGTTCTTCAAATCTTTGATGTGAAAATTTGACAAACTTTGACTTTCAATTTACTAAAAGTAAATTTGCCACCAGCAGTTTTCTCATATTTTGTTAACATAACCATCCTTAACAATAAGCAATAAAATTTACTGGATTAAAATATCCACTTTGGTTGTTAGAGCTATTTCAATTCTACAGAAAAATGTCACTTTTTCGAAAATTGGAACAGTGCCAATTTTATGACCTTTTTGCACTAAAACAAAATGGATGTCAATCATCTTGACTATGCATCTAAGAAGAACTAATCTTCATCCTTTTACTACAAAATAAAATCTTTGAGTAATTTTTAGACTTGCAATTTTATTTCTCCTCTAAATCTATACTTATAAATTAAAAAATTTTGCAAATAAACTCCGAAACGGGTGCACCAGAGTTCTTACTTACGTTTCTAAGAACACACTAGATACAAGAAGATGTTCGTAAACTATATTTAGAATTCACTCGCATAGTAAGTATCGCACATTAAATTAAAAGTCTACTGTCATTTTCTATAAACAGCCATGAAATAGCAAAAACGTGAGTCCCCGTGGGGACCCGGGGTGACAAGAATAGGTCCCTGGCACCCCCTTGCATGTCGTAAAAGGCGACTAAATGGGGCAACCTGTTGGCCGTGGGTTGCGACCCGTGTTGGTGGAGAAGGGGATCCTGGTGGCTGAGGTCTGCAGGTGTTGGGTGTAACGACCTGACATGACCAACACTCCACTTTGGCCCCATATTCATCTAAACGGGAGGTCAAGTTTGGCCCGACTTGATCAATCGTCTGGTCACGCCGAGCTTGTTTTTATTGGCATGCCATAGTATTGATGTATTTGTAATATATTTGTTATTATCTGCCTTTTTACAAATTTCCAATACGCCGACGTTTCCATATTAATATATGTAAATCAAGCGGTGGCTTAGGGTCAATCAGGCATATCATGTCTGAGTGTAGTTTCTTTGTATCCTCTTGGTGTCATTCTTACTGGATATCCGTTTGACTTGACATCGCCCTTGTTGGCGCTCCGTGGCGGGCGGGGAGCAAGGATTCTGAATTTTATTCATAAAACCATGGCTACTACAGAAAAACCTTGTTACCCATCAGGTTTAGAATACTTTATGAATGATGAGCAGATTACTTCAGTTGTGGAACACTGGCCCCGCTTCATCACACTTGAAGCAAAATTATCAGAAAAAACAAAGCCCCTTACAAAGGTGTCGCCTTTTCTCATACAGAAAGGAATACAGGGAGTAATTGGAACTCCGAGATCAGTTAAAAAGTTAAAATCTGGAGCTCTTTTAATTGAAGTTACTAAAAAACAACAGTCTACATCTTTGTTGGCATTGACTGCTCTAGCAGATATCCCTGTAAAATACACTCTGGGCTCAATCAAAGCAAAGGTATTCTGTTCAACAGAGATCATGACCTTAATGACATTCCGGAACAGGAAATCCAATGTGAATTGGAATCTCAAGGCGTGGTCTCTGTTAAACGGTTCACGAAAAAGCGCAACGACAACATCGAACCGACGAACACTTACCTGTTGACTTTCTGTACACCTACACTTCCAACAAACATTAAAGTCGGCCTGTACATCATGAAAATTGAAACGTTTGTTCCAAATCCACTGCGCTGTTTTAAGTGTCAGAGATTTGGACACGGGCAATCAAACTGCAAAAGTGCTGATGCATGCTTCAGGTGTGGTGAGGAGGGGCATGATGGCAAAGGCTGTCAAAAAGACCCTAAATGTAAGAATTGCAAGGGAGACCACATGGCTTCTTCAAAACAATGCCCTGTATGGCAAAAAGAAAAGAATATTCAAAAAGTTAAAGCAGAAAAAAGAATTCCGTATCCAGAAGCGAAAAAATTGGTCAATATGTATAGCGTACCTAAGCCTAATCTGCCCTCATATTCAACAGTTTTAAAAGCATCCTCAAAGAAGGATATGTCTACTCAGGTATGTGAGAATGATATTTCTCAACAGACCACAACATCTAAGGTTTCTCTGTAAAATGAATCATCCTACATTTATACAATGGAATTGCCGAGGTTTTAGAGTCAACTTAACAAATTATCTTTACTAATTCAGGACCATTGCCCGGTAGCTTTATGTTTACAAGAAACACATTTGAAAGAAACTGATAAGATAAGTATTAAAAACTATAGTATGTATAACCATTATGCTCTGACTGAAAGAGCATCGGGTGGTACGTCTATAGCAGTCAATAATAATTACATTCATAGCCAACTTGTTTTAAAAACTAATCTTCAGGCAGTAGCTGTTCGCGTTTCTCTCGATAAAACAATAACCCTTTGTTCCGTATACGTTCCCCCAAACTATCAGTTACAATCTTTAGAACTTACAGAATTAATACAACTGCCTACTCCATTTCTGATTGTTGGTGACTTTAATGCCCATAATCCGCTATGGGGTAGTGACAAAACCACAGATAAAGGAAAAAAAAATAGAAGATGCAGTATCACAACATAATCTTTGTATACTTAATGACGGCTCGAACACTTACCTACATCCGGGCAATGGTTCATATCACTTTAGTAGATCCTTCTTTACTCTTAGATTTTAACTGGTCAGTACACGACGATTTATGCGGGAGTGATCATTTCCCTATTATCGTTGAAGTGAATAATCCCCCAGAAAATAGTTATGTTCAAAACTGGAAACTAAACAAGGCTGATTGGATGAAATTTGAATACTTATGCTTACAAGATCTTTCGGCTGAGAAGTTTGAAAACCATCCTGATCCTATTAAAAAATTTACTGAAATACTATTAAACACAGCAAATAAATGTATACCTAAAACGTCGGCAAATTCTACTAAAACTAAAAAACCATGGTTTACAAAAGAATGCAATGATGCTATTAAAGCTGGCAAAAAAGCAGAAAAACTATTTAATAGATTACCAACATCAATGAATTTAAGCAATTTTCGCATATTTAGAGGAAAAGCTCGTAGAACTATAAATTTTAATAAACGAAAATCTTGGAAAAAGTTTGTTTCCAGCCTTAATACGCATACTCCGATAAATAAGGTTTGGAACGCAATAAGAAAAATAAGAGGAAAGGGTCCTCAAAGATATCATCTTAATATTGGAAATAAAATTATTACGAATAAAACAGAAATAACTATGCATGTAATGAAATAGCTAATACAATTTCAAAAAATTCTTCCACAAAGAACATGAGCCCTACATTTATTCCCTATAAAGATTCACAAGAGAAGGAAACCTTAGATTTTACATCTGGAAACCGGGAATGTTATAATCAACCATTTACTTTAAATGAACTGCAAAAGTCTTTAGATAAATCTCATGATACTGCGGTAGGACCGGACCAAATACATTATCAAATAATTAAACATCTCCCTAAAAACAGTAAAGAATGTCTCTTGCAAATTTTTAATTCTATCTGGGCACGAGGTCTTTTTCCACCTTCCTGGACGCAAGCAACAATTATTCCTATTCCAAAACCTGGAATGAACCACACAGATCCTAATAATTACCGACCAATTGCTTTAACAAGCTGCTTATGTAAAACCATGGAAAGGATGATCAATGAACGCTTAATATGGTTTCTTGAAACCAATAACATTTTAACTAACATACAATGTGGTTTTAGGAAAAACCGAAGTACTATTGACCAGTTAGTAAGACTGGAAATGTATATTCGAGATGCCTTTATTAAAAAAGAGCATGTCGTATCTGTACTTTGTGACTTAGAAAAAGCATATGATACCACATGGAGATATGGCATCTTGAAAGATCTCTACAGTATGGGCCTTAAAGGACACTTGCCCAATTTTATAAAGAATTTTTTGAATGATAGACATTTTAAAGTACGCTTGGGGTCTACATATTCGGACAATTTTGAACAGGAAATGGGTGTGCCACAAGGAAGTATTTTATCTGTCACATTATTTAGCATAAAAATTAATAGTATAGCAGAAGTCCTTAAAAGTGATATGCATGGAAGTCTATATGTCGATGATTTTGTTCTTTGTTTTAAATCCAAAAGTATGAATTATATTGAGCGAAAATTACAGCCTTTGTCTAAACAAAATTCAAAATTGGGCTGATAAAAATGGATTTAAGTTCTCAAAAAGTAAAACCGCTTGCGTGCATTTCTGCTCTAAACGGAAAGCACATGATGAACCACATTTGCTTCTAGACAGAATCCCTATAAAAGTCGTAAAAGAGATAAAATTTTTAGGTGTTATCTTTGACAGTAAACTCTCTTTTATCTCGCATATTAAAATGCTTAAAGAAAAATGTACAAAGGCATTAGAAGTATTAAAAGTTATTGCAAATACAAAATGGGGGGCGGATATAAATACTCTTTTAAAACTCTATCGTTCTTTAGTTAGATCTAAATTAGACTTTGGTTGCTTTGTATATGGTTCGGCAAGAACTTCATACATGAAAGCTCTTAATTGACGCAGTCCATCATCAAGGCCTTCGACTGTGCTTAGGAGCTTTTCGAACTTCTCCTGTAAATAGTCTATACGTTGAAGCAAATGAGCCACCGCTGGACTTAAGAAGAATCAAACTTACCTTACAGTATATTCTCAAATTGAAGGCAAATATTAATAATCCTGCTTACGATTGTGTTTTTCATCCGCAATACGAAAACCTATATGATAAAAGTAAAACATGTATAAAACCTATTGGTCTAAGATCTAGAAAACATATCAGGGATTCTGACTTACCTTTGGACATTATAAAACCTACAAGTTCCTCTGAAATACCGCCATGGAAATTAATTAAACCAAATGTAGACACATCTTTAACTGAATTTAAGAAATCAGAAACCAATGCTCTTATTTTAAACAGAAATTAGCCGAAATAAAACAATCTAAAAATTCTACAGTCGAAATTTATACAGATGGTTCTAAAGACAAAAATAAAGTAGCAGCGGCTGCAGTGAATAAAAATAATGTTTTTTTCTTTAAGGCTTCCAAATGAAGCTACAATATTTACAGCAGAGGCAAAAGCCATACAGCTTGCATTTGAATATATTAAATCTTCAAATGACAACTCTTTTTACAATATTTTCGGACTCGCTTTCTTGCTTGCAATCTATACAAAATATGAATATCGATCAACCATACATTTTAGATATATTAGTTCAGTTCTGTCATTTCACTCAACAAGGTAAAGTAGTTGACTTTTGTTGGATTCCAAGTCATATTGGCATCATTGGAAACACTAAGGCTGATAGTGCTGCAAAATTGGCACTTCAGTACGAAATTACCATTTTTAAAATTCCTTATACTGACCTAAAATATATTGTGAAATTTTATGTAAATTCTCTTTAGCAGATATATTGGGAATTTTGTGATACAAGTAAACTATATGCAATAGAAAACAAAGTTAACATATCATCTAACTTCGGCCTGAAACTTCAGGACAAAGTGATTATTTCAAGAATACGTAAAGGTCATTCTAAAATAACACATGCATACTTATTAAATCGAGAACTTCAGCCAGAATGTATATCCTGTGACTGTCCGCTTACTATAAATCATATTCTTTTAGAATGTTCTGATTTTTCACCTATTCGAAGTAGACTTTTCAATAATGTACGAACGATGCGTGAACTGTTTACAAATGTTAATGTTAATACAATTTTAGATTATTTACATGAAACTGATTTTTATAGTAAAATCTAAAGATACACAATGTAATTAATTTTTTGATAATCACAGAGAGAGTTTTATTTTAAACTTTTAAAAATATTTTTAAATTTTTAAGTCCGTCGGATGGGACGTTAAATGGTGCCCCGTGTCAAGGATTGCAACCCCCTTGGCACGCAAAAGATCGTTTTTTCTGGTTTTTGGAAAAGAGTAGGCTCACTGGGGGCCGCCAGAGAAACCAAAAATCTTTCACAACCGATCATATAGAATTAATGTTCCGCCGAAATATGGCTGAAATATTGCCGACTCGGCGTTAAACCCTAATCAATCAATCAATCAAAAACGTGAGTACGGTGGCGTTTCCGGTTGGTGGATCGAAGCTACTGGCAATTTTTAATGTAACTGGCAACTAGCAATCGTTTATTTATTTCATAAAACGTCATCACTGAATAATTCATTCAAAACTTGATTTAAGTGATATAAAAGAAATAAGTTGTGATAACCGATTAAAAACGGAAATGTGCAAATTATTTTCATCATTCACGTATCTTAATATTGACGGAACTTTCTAGAACATCGTATAGCATCGAGCCCGATGTTAAAAAAAAAACGATGCGATTATAGCTGTATGATCATAAATAAGGCTTTTGTGTAAATGGTTATTAAATATTATTATGCTTCCTGTCAGTTTGTCTCTATATAATCAATACCCAACTATTTTCGCATAGTGTTCTAAGGATTTATATAGCGTAAGCATATTATGCCGAAATAGTGCACGGCTGTCTTTTCTAGAGAAAATGTAATTAGCACCCACGCTGGGGATCGAACTCACGATCTGGAGAACGTCAGTCCAACGCGTTACCGATTACGCCACAAACACCGCTACTTTACGGAATGTATTTTCAAGTATATAAACGTAGTTTTTATACATTTGTCACAAAACAAGAAATAAATGAATATAATTTCTAAAAGACTGATATTATTGATAAGGATCTTAAAGATAAATTCTCTAACAAATAATCGAATTTATCAGTAACCAAAATTACAACGTAACATGAACTGGTTCTTCGGAGTCAATAAAACGCTTTTTGATATAACGCTTGATTAAAGTATGTTCAAGAAAATTTTCATTTAGATTTAACGTCTGCAAACAGGTTTGGGATTGAGAATTTAATTAAATTGTCGTATACAAACAACAGTCAGCATAATAATTATAATAGTGTTATTATTTGGATGTACTATGCCGAAATAGTAGTCAGGGTTTAACACATAGTGCACTCGCCTCCGGCTCGTGCACCATGTGTCAAACCCTGACTACTATTTCGGCATAGTACATCCAAATAATAACACTATTATATAA